GTGGCTGTCAGTAGGTCATATGTTATCTTGACCATAGGTTCAAGGTTTGATAGCAGCATTCAACACCGTGTTTTAGCTTATGTTCTTCCGAAATTAAGCCATGTGATGCCACCAAAGCGCATGCCGCCGAAACTTTGGCCCCATTTGAACGGTTTGCAGTTGGCAGACCCGAGATACTACGAACCCCAAAGTATTGATTGTTTGTTAGGAAACGATGTTTATGACGACATTATCCGTGGTGATGTTCGTAGGGGAAACAGGGGAGAGCCGATTGGCCAATGCACCTTATTTGGCTACATTCTTTCCGGAAAAATAAGCGCCCCCCCATCCCCACCACATACCCTATCTTCGTTACATGTACATACCGAAACTGAGGAGTTATTAACACGTTTCTGGGAGATGGAAGAATGTCAGAGTGAACGCAAATTGTCGGAACTAGACCAGTGGTGTGAAGACTTTTATAAGAGCACTACTACTCGCATGGATAATGGAAAATACGTGGTAAGGTTGCCTCTCTTATCATATCTTGATCCTTCCGTCTGTATCGGCACATCTAAACATGTCGCCCTCAAGAGGTTATTATATCTGGAACGTCGTTTGGTACAATGTCCTTCACTAAGGCAAATATATCGGGACACCATCGACGAATATCTACAACTCGGTCAAATGGAACCAGTCAATGCGGTGGATCAAATGCACCATAACACGAATATCAACAATACAGCTTCCACCCTTTGCTATCTTCCACACCACCCGGTAGTTAAAGAATCGTCTTCTACAACCAAGGTACGTATCGTGTTTGATGCATCGGCCAAAACAAACAACGGTCGGTCTCTGAACGACATTTTAGCTACCGGCCCGGCATTGCAAACAGACTTATCAGCTGTGCTAACAAATTGGCGTTTTTACAAGTACGCATTTTTAGCAGATGTGGAAAAGATGTACCGGGCTATCAATGTCCATAGAAAGGATGCTCAATATCAGCGCATATTGTGGCGACAGAGTCCAGACGACCAAATTAAAGAATACTATTGTTCCACCGTTATGTTCGGGACTAGGTCAGCACCCTTTCTAGCCATCCGCACCATACAACAATTAGCAGATGATGAATCTCGGAATTTTCCACTTGCTGTCAATGTCATCAAACATCAGATGTATGTCGATGATGTTTTGTCGGGAGGTGACACAATCGAAGAAGCACTCGAGGTACAAGCACAAACAAGAGGTATGCTGAACAATGGAACATTTCTGCTTCATAAGTGGTCCAGTAATCATAGCCAGTTGTTAGAGCGCATTCCTATTGAACATCGTGAAATGAAAGGATCACTGCAAATTAATACCACTGAAACCTTAAAGGCTTTAGGAATGTTTTGGAATCCTGCATCCGATGAGTTTACCTACGGCATCAAGTTTGATATTCCTAGCGGGCCACCAACTAAACGGATGGTTCTTTCCACCATAGCGCGGCTTTTTGACCCATTGGGGTGGTTGAATCCAATAATTTTAAGAGCCAAACTTTTCATGCAACAATTGTGGATTACAAAGCTGGGGTGGGATGACATCTTACCCCAAGAAATCCAAAGCTTCTGGAACCAGTATACTAAGGAGCTTCCATCTATAGAAATGATACGTGTACCCCGTTGGCTGAACACCAACCATCATAACAGCAGCAACACAATCCATATATTTTGTGACGCTTCAGCAAGTGCCTATTCAGCAGCAGCCTATAT